TGCCCCATCAGCATCACCTCCATGGGCCGTGACAGCTCGGCCACCTTCAAGGACAGCTGGGCAGCCCCCGAAAGCGGCTGCTCTGACCCCTGGGCCTGCAGCCGGTGGGGCGAGGGGTCTCATCCTGGTCCGCAGAGGCAGCAGCGTTTGGGGCTTGCGTGGGGTGCAAGGACCCGCTGTGGGTGCTGGGTGCTGAGTGTGACCAGAGCATCCCTGGCTCTCACAGAGTCACTGGCGCTTACCGTTAAGCAAGAACATAATCTCCAAAGTGCTTTTTAGCATCAAGAATCAGCAATAAAAGTGGAAGAATTGATAATTGCAAAGGATTCGGCTGGTCCTGGACCCCCTGGCCGCCCTCTGAGGAGAAGCCCGCTGTGAAATCCCCCCACGTGGGACTCGCCTTGAGCTGGGACCCACCGACACGTGCAGCTTCTGTCCGTGTGCTGCTCATCGCTCCCGTTTCCCAGGCCGGAAAGCAAAACCCGCAGAGCTGGAGTGGAGCCGGGAGGGTCTCCGGGTCCCGCTTTCATCTCCAAAGCCTGAATCTGGCACCCTGCTCTGCGCATCGGCACTTTCTGGATCCCCAGCGCTGAGCTTGCCCGACCGGGGGCACCCGGCTTCACGCTCCTGATGGTTTATTTTCCGGCTCTAATTGTTTCAGCTGTTCTCACTGTGCTGTGACTGCTACAGCTGTTTTCTTATTGAATATTAATACAGGAGCTCCAGATGTTTTTTTGCTATCCTGTAATCACTCCAGCTGCTTTCTCCTACGCCGTGATTAACCGGGGCTTGCGGCTTCCCCCTTGGGTTGGGCTGGGGGCCCTGCACGTGCTGGGTCTCGGGTGGGATCGATTGATGGATATCTGCCTATGGATATATCGCAAATATTACACGTGGGCTTGGCCCAGCGTCTCCCTGCCTAGGAGGGCGATGAGGATTCGAGCTCATGCAACTGGGTGATGAGCAGCTGCCCGTGCAATTAAGTGAGGGCTCGTTAATAATAGGACCCTTGATGGTGGTTGATTTTGTCACGAGGCCAGCTTCGGGTGCAGCATCCGCTGGTGCAGCGCTGGGAGTTGTCTTGGGCGGGGGGGGGAGGGTTCCCAGAGTGGGCTGCAAAGATGCACATCCCCATCCTAAGTGGTAAACCCTGGTTTTGGGCTGGAAAACCCATTTCTGGGGCATTAATAACTGGGCTGAGCCAATGGTGTTGTACACAGCATCCCTCTTGGATCCAGGACAAAGTCCTGCTGGATCCAGGGTGCGCGGGCAGGGCACCTGGAGAAGAGAGTGACCCATCCATGGGTTGCCCAGTGGGTGTTTGAGTTCCCTGTGTAGATCCAGGGGAGCTCGGGGACCCCGGGGTGGACATTTCAGACCATGTCTGCACAAAGCAACGCGACTCAGTCGCTGGTATCCGTGGAAATATCGCTGCAGCGTGCTGGTGCTGCGGGGAGGTGTGTGCAGGGAGCTGGTTCTCTCCCTTGCAGGCAGGGTGCGAGCGAGAATAAATATATATACATGCATAAATAAATACAGACACGTGTATATGGATGGCAGAGGGGTATATGCACACCCAGGAGCCGTTGTGTACCTCTCCCGGTCTCGTGCTGGTGCATGCACAAGCTTGTAGTGCCTGTAGCTATATATATAAGTGTATAGGCTATATATTTAAAGTATTTATATAGGTACACACAGTCCTGCCCTAAAGGTTTCCGTAATTCTCCACAAATTTAATAAGCGCCTTGTGTACACGTGTAGGACACAGTGCCTCTGATTAAATTAACTTGTAAATCAAGTGGAAATTGTGTATTTGCACGGTGGGAAGCGCGCGGGAGGCGATCGCTCTCTCTTGGCCCCGTAATTAGATCCGAACAAAACCTGCAAAAAAAGGAAAACGGAGGGGGAGAGCTGCCGTCTCTCTGCAGCGAGAGGGTCTGTGTTCTGGGGGGATGCTGCTGGGGAATCGTGGTCTTTGCCGAGCTGTCGCCTCTCCTGTCCTCCTCGCTGGCCCCCTCGGGTCGAGAAATCCGTGGTAAAGAAGCAAATATTGATCCCGGTGCTCTCGAATGCCGTTATTGTTTGCGGTTATTATTGCTGGTGGTGTTAATTAGAGGGGAAGGCTGGGGCATGTCGAGCCCGTCTGCGATGAGGATGATGATGCTCGCGGAGGGAAGTGCTGGCGATGTCTCCCGAGGAGGCAGGTGGCTCCAGGGGGGGATTTGGATTTGGGTTATATCAAAAAAGGGAATTTTTTTTTAATTTCCTTACACTGGTGAGCTCAGGCGAGTTCTGGCGGTGCTGGCGCGCGGGGGCTCGCTGCTGTGCTGTCGGAAACGGGGTGCGATGCCAGGAACGGCACCTGCGGGGTTTGTGCCGTGGCGTGGGGATCTCCTCGCCCCGTGGTGAAGTGTCACCGGTGGGCCCAGGAGCACCGTCACCCCGGGGAGCATCGCCGGCCCCGTCTGGTGACACGTGCCGGAGCTGAGTGACGTAGCAGAGGGGACGCGGTGGCGTGGTCACAGGAGAGAGCGGCTGCAGCTGCCCGGAGGGTTTTCCCAGAGGATTTCTCCTTCCAGCCTGGTTTCTTGCTGCATCCAAGCCTGTCCCCTTTCCTTCCCCAGTGCCCGGCGGCATCGCCTCGGAGTCCCC